ATTTTACTTGAGAAAGATGAAGAATAATAGTATTTGCTTTTGCGCTGACATATGCTTTGTTAATAATGTGACTGGAATGTGTTCTAGGGACCATTGTTTTCACTCCTCTTCTAGTCCCGCTTGGGTGAGCACAACTATGTGCTAAGTCATATGAGTCTTATTAAAAAATCACCAAATCTGGCATCGCCTTGGGGACCCCTAGCATAGTTTGAAAAGAGTCATTAGAATTCATATTGAGAAGTATTCTTTAGATATAATTTCAAACTTGTCTATTATAGATGAAACAGACTTGGGGATAAAAAGTTCCTTTCTCAAGGACTACAGCTAAGGAAACAGGGAATCCAGGGCAGATAAACCCCTCAGGACCAATAATGAGATTAGCAGTACCTGGAGGGGAGGGGGAAGGTAAGGGGAGAAAGGAGGAACCGATCATAATGATCTACATAGAACCCCTTACCGGGGACAACAGAAAAGTGTGTGAAGATAGACGGCAGTCGGTGTAAGACAGATTTATAAATTATCAAGGGTTCATGAGGAATGGAGAGAGGGGCTGATATTAAGGGCTCAAGTAGAAAATGTTGGAAAACACTCATGAAGGCCACCAAACAAACCTTCAACTATTTATAGGCTTTTCCATTTTTGTCAGTAGCTTTCTTTTGTTATTGTTGTTTTATTGTTGTTATTGTTTTGTTGGTCCGTTTTATTTGGCTTTGCCTGGTTTTTGCACTTAATAATGTATCTGCATGTCTATCTAGATAAGATAGGCGGGATAAATAATTTGGAGATGAAAAGAACGGGACCAATGGTTCCGAGGGATTACTGGAGAAGGAGAGGTAGAGAGGGGGTGGGGGTTCTAACTCAGGGACAAGGGAAAAGCAAGTGAACTGAAATCAATGGAAGGAAGGTCATAGGATACCTAGTGAATTAAGGTTGCAGATGGACATTGGGCCTTCACTCTACTCCCTCAACAAAAGAACACTTTGTTCTAACAGTCCAGCATTCTGTGATGCTCACCTTCCCCACATGATCTCTGAAGACAAAATGGGTGCATAAGTAAATGTGGTGAAGAAAGCTGATGGTGCTCGGCTATCAAAAGGTATAGCATCTGGGGTATTGAAGGCTTGAAGATAAACAAGTGGCCATCTAGCTGAGAAGTAACAAAGCCCACATGGAGGAAGCACACCAGCCTGTGTGATCATGAGGTGTTGATGGGATCAGGTATCAGGCATCTAACACCCAGAACAAAATCATACCCAATGTGAATGGTGGGGGGCGGGGGAGCATGGAGTGGAGACCCAATGCCCATCTGTAGACAACTGGACATCCCCTCACAGAGGGGTCACAGGGAAGAGATGAGCCAGTCAGGGTGCAGTGTAGCACCGATGAAACACACAACTTTCCTCTAGTTCTTTGTTGCTTACTTCACCCCACTATCATGACTTTAATTCTACCTTACAAATCAGATTAGACCAGAGCATGCACACTGCTACAGATAAGAGCCCAGAACACAGGGAACCCAGGATAGATAAACCCCTCAGAGGCAACAATGAGAGCGATACCGAGAGGATTAGGGGAGGGTGGGAGGAGAAAGGGGGAATCGATCACAAGGATCAATTTATAATCTCCTCCCAGGGGGGCAAATAACAGAAAAGTGGGTGAGGGGCGATGGAGAAGGATGTAAGATGTGGAATAATCTATAACTTATCAAGAGTTAGTGAAGGAGGGGGAAGAGATAGGCAGCTGATATCAGGTTCAAGTGGGAAGAGAATTCTTTGAAAATGATGGCGGCATATGCTGGACACACTAGATGAATGTATGGATTGTGATACGATCTGTAAGAGCCCCCAATAAAAGTATTTTAAAAAATGTTTTGGAAATGATGATTGCAACAAATGTACAAGTATGCTTGACTGGATGTGTGGATTGTGATAAGAGTTATACAAGCCCCCAATAAAATTTGAAAAAAGAGAAAAACAAAAAAATGAAACACACACAAAAAAAGACTACAACTAAGTGGTGGTAAATGTAGGACTAGAACTATCACGTTTTATCTCAAACATTTATGTTGCTTGCTTTGAATCTGTTCTGTTAAATACGTTCATTTCGTATACGTACTTCTAGTATTCATTTTCTGATACATATTGAGCATTTCTGTTTAGTTTAGCTGCAGTTTTCTTGAGGGCAGTTGGTGCTTCAGTGCTGGAATGCCTGCCTTCTGTTGGAGAGACTGGGCCTCAATTCCTGGAGCGTGCACCTCCGCACGTTGACCCACCTGTCGGAGGAGGCTGTGCTGCTATGATGCTGCACAGGTTCCCGTGGAGCTTCCAGACTGAGGAAAATTAGAAAGACAGGCCTGACAATCTACTTCTGAAAATTAGCCAGTGAAACCCCATGGATGAAACTGGTCCAAACCACAGATGATTATAGGGAT